CAGGTCTCATAATTTTTAGTATGTCTCATGTTTAATGCTTTAAATTTATAGAATTTTTATGGCTGATCACATAGGTTACTGTTGCGATATAAATATGTCTGATGAAGAAAACAAAGACCCGAATGAAGTGATATTAGAGAACGATGGTAATTTCGATGAGTTATTAATTAATATTGTCAAAGGCTATCCACACCTGTACGACAGCAGCTGCAAAGATTATCGCGACGCGATAAAAAAAGAAAATTCTTGGGTCGAGATATCTAAGATTTTGGACAAGCCTCGTAAGTTTTATTTTTCAATATTTAACAATGAGCTAATATTCAATTCATTAACATGCATTCGTACAATTGAATAAAGAGTAAGTACCCACCTACAATAGAGATTTAAACTCTAAGCTTTAAGAAATGGACTAATCACAGTCGCATATTCTACTCATACTTGACCGTGATTGGTCCATTTCTTAAGGCTTAGGGCTCAAATCTATTGTAGACTGAGGCTGTGTTCCGATATTCACTGCCAGTACTGAAAAGGTATAGTATACGTGACGTAAACTATAGATTTTCAGTACTGGCAGTGAATATCGGAACGCAGCCTGAGACTAAAGGAAGAAACATTCGCCCAAAAAATAAAGACAAAACAGAACAAGCTATAACATCACAAATGGCTAAATTCAAATGCTCAATTATCAGTATGAACAAAATAATGTATCCGTCATTACTCACACTCTTAAAAATTCGGTAAATGCTGCTCCCTTTACTCTTTATTTAATGATTATACTGAAAGTGAACTCAACCAATTAATCCATTATTAAATTTGTGTATTTAACATATATTTCAGCGGATGTTTGCTGCAATAGATGGACTCGTCTAAGGGAATCTTTTTCGAAAGAAAAAAAAAAAAGATGTAATGAAACGAGAAGTGGAAGTGGGGCATGTAAACGACGAGGATTTATATATTTTGAAAACATGAAATTTATTGACAAATTTGTGAAAACTAGAAGGTAAGAAATTCATTACTGTTGATTCTGTAATCTTATTAGCGAGATACCCAGTAAACACCAAGTAACAGTTACATAACATTAATATTATAATTCCACTCACCAATATTACATGTTACATTTATATTGTTGAGTAAGAAATTATATTGTAATATTGATGTTATATTACTTGGTGTTTACAGGGTAGTGTACAATAGAATATAATAATTTATTAAAAACACAGGTTTTAATTCTGTGAAAATTATGAGAGGATGATAATTTATAATTTTTACAAGTATTTTATTGTATTATATTTATTATATTTATATTTCTTTTTTTAATTATTTGTGTTTGTCAAAGAGAATTGAGTGATATGTTTTACCACATTCTTATTAATTTGTAAATTTAATCAAATTTAATATGGTTTTAGTTCGATGACCAACATCAAGTTGCAAAAAAAATTTGAAAATATTTCTAATTTTTCGGAAGATAGAAGTCTAAATGAAGAAATTTCAAATTGGGTGCAGCATGGCAAACAGACTTTGGAAAAAGAAAGATCTCCATTGAAAGAAATTGATGCAAATAGATTTTTACCAATAAACAAATCTTTAATGTCGGAAACAACACCCACTACCAGTAAATTTGATGATGCGTCATGTGCATCTTTTTCTGAAAATAATACGAACGACTTCGTAGAACAATCGTCAGCTCGGTCATCGCCTATCACTTTTAACTCTTCACTCCTTTCTCCAAGTAGCGAAAAATCTACCCGCACTTTCAAAAAGCCGTCATACATGAAGGGTAAATTTAATCCAAATATATCAGTTCAAAAAGATGGTAAAAATAGAGAAACTGAAAACGATAATTTTGAAATGTCTTTTATTAATTTGAATAAAGCAGTTGCAGAGCATTTGAATTCTAAAAAAGACAGTGCACAAATGCAGAATGATCCAGACGCTTCATTTTGTAATCTGGTTATGGCGGAATTAAAACAATTGGATGATCATGTAAAACAAATAAAAAAACAAGAAATAATGCAAATTTTGTGGAGAAAGGAAAATCTATAAGTAAAATATTTGCTAAAATAAATACTTTGTGTTCATACATATAATACTCATGCTTTAAAAATACTGTGATGTTAATATAATAGTTTAGATAAGTGTTGCAATAAATATATTATATACTGTTATATGTATGTATAATAATAACACTAGTAATAATAGGGAAATTTTATACTGTTTATTTCACTTACAATAAATACATATTAGCATTACATTTTACAATATAACACACATGTGTAATCAATGATAAAATGTTTACATTTAGGAGTCTTGATTTTGTCCTCTTGTTACATAATCATGCTGCCATTCGACCATTCCATTCGGAGTCATAAAATAATTACAAAGACTGTCCCTAATGTGCGTCGCAAATGCTACATGATCATGTTGGTTATTTTCAATAATTTTATCATTGTTTTTAAATTGTATAATATTACCTTCTTTATTTCTTAAGAAATTGTGCAAACATACAGTTGTCAAAACATATTTATTAATATTTTCAGGAGTTGCAGCGATCGGTCTGTTATAAATATTCCACTTTTTTGCTAAAATTCC